CAGTTTTAATTTGTGTATCCATTTTTAGAAGTAACACTATTTTTATAATTAGATGATGAGTCAGAATTATGTTTTTTGGTAAACTCAATGTACTTTTTTTTTTTTTTTTTTTTTGGTGCTGGTCTTTGGGCTTGAACTCAGAGCGTGGGTCCTATCTCTGAGCTTTTTTGCTTGAGGCTAGTGTTCTGCTTGAGTCACACCTTTGCTTCTGGCTTTTTTTTTTTTTTTTGGTGGCTAAGAGATAAGAGACTCATGGATTTCCCTTTGTGGGCTAGCTTTGAACCACAGTCCTCAGACAGCCTCCTGAGTAGTTAGAATTACAGGCATAAGCCACCACCAGTGCCTGGCTTTTTTATTTTTTTAAATTTTTTAAAAATTTAAAAAAGAGGGGTTACAATTACATGGGCAAGAAAATGAGCACATTTCTTATCAAGCATTGTAGCCTCCTCCTTTGTTTACCCTTCACATCCCCCCCCCCCCCCCCCCCCCCCCCCCCCCCCCCGCTCTCCCCACCACCAAAGTTGTAAAGTTTGTTTTCGACATGACAACTTGTACTTCTCATTGTTGCAACGGGTCCACCTGTATCCTTATTTAAACGACTTGTTTTTCCCCTTCCCCTCCACAAATTATACCGACATCAAATACAGTGAAAGCAGGGGTTACACTGTGGGGGAGGGACATACAAAGCAACAAAAAAATAATCTTATAAATGCATTAGAAACAAAGGCATGAAAGCAAAAAAAAAAACATTTAAATACATATCTAAGGGTTCATTTTCCTAACATCACCTTATCTGACCTTTTCTGCTTGACTCATACATATACTAGATATTGGCTTTTTTATTTTTTATTTGTTTTTATTTTTATTTTTTTTTGCCAGTTGTGGGGCCTGAACTCTGGTCCAGGGCACTGTCCCTCAGCTCTTCAGCTCAAAGCTAGTGCTCTACCACTTGGGCCACAGTGCCACTTCTGACTTTTTCTGCTTATGTGGTGCTGAGGAATCGAACCCAGGGCCTCATGCATGCAAGGCAAGCACTCTACCACTGAGCTACCTTCCCAGACCAGGCTTTTTTATTTTTTTAAAAACATAATTACAGTGTGTAAAATTTGCCATCTTACCCATTTTAAGTATGTGGCCTATTAGCATTAAGTATGCTTACGTTGTTGTAGAACAAACTTCCAATACCTTTAGTAACTTTTAAAACTAAACTCTATACCAATTAAACAACTCCCATTGCCTACTCCCTCCTTAGATGTTGGTAAACGTCATTCCACTTTCTTTATCTATGAATCTGATTTTAGATACACCAGAGAAGTGGAATCATATAGTATTTGTTTTTATATTTATTTCACCTAGCATAAGGCCTGATGCTGTGGTCTTTGTAACAATACAAATTTAGCATCTGTTTTAATGGACATTAAGTGGGAATTCAGACTTTAACTGGAAACCAGCATTTGGAGCTGTGGGTCAAGTGGTAGAGCACTAACCTTAAGCAAAAGAAGTTCAGAGACAATGCCCAGGCACACACACACAAAACAACACATTAATAAAAACTTTAAAAAAATGTGGCTAATAATTCAAGTACTGGTGGCCCACACCTGTCATCTTAGCCACTCGGGAGGCTGAGACCTGAAGATCACAATTCAAAGCCAGTTCAGGCAGGGAAGTCCTTTAGATTTTTGTCTCCAATTAACCACAAAAAGGGATAGGGGATATGCTAGGGCTCCTTGGTACAAATTGAAACTTCCTAAATATCCAGAAACACAACAAATCAAAGAAGGCTGGATAAATGGCAAAGGACATAGCTAGTAAGAGAAATAGAAAGCCCACAGATTGGGAGATCTTCACTAGCTATACAACAGGTAAAGGACTCATTTAAAAAAATATGCCTAGGGCTGGGAAGGTGGCTCAGTGGTAGAGTGCTTGCCTTGCATGCATGAGGCCCTGGGTTCGATTCCTCAGCACCACATGAGCAGAAAAAAAAAGCCGGAAGTGGTGCTATGGCTCAAATGGTAGAGCACTAGCCTTGAGCTGAAGAGCTGAGAGACAGTGTCCAGGCCCAGAGTTCAGGCCCATGACTGGACCCCCCCTCCCCCAAAGAAAAAAAGTATATATACCTAGAGCTCAAAAAATTAAATCCCCCAATAAAAAATCCTATAAGAAACACCATTAATAAGTGGGCTAAAGAATTAAAAAGAGACTTCACTGGAGAAGAAATAAGAATGGCCATTAGACACATGAAGAAATGTTCAACATAAAAGAAATGCAAATCAAAACCACATTGAGATTCTGTTAGAATGGCCATTATCAAAAAAATGAATAATAGTAGATGCTAGCAGGGTTGTGACCCAAAGGCAACTCTGTACACTGTTGGTGGGAATGTAAACTGAGCAACCACTCTGGAAAGCAGTATGGAGGTTGCTCAAAAGACTCAACATAGTCTACCTATGATCTAGCAATCCCACTCCTGAGCATTTGCCCAAATGAACACAAACATGGCCACACCAAAGTACCAGCACAACTATGTTCATTGCGGCATTTTTTTTTTTCAGGCAGGAAGAAAAGTATTGTTTTACCTAACTGCTGCCCCACTGTGCATGGTGGAGACCACATGGCCAAAGGAGCAGCATTATTTACCATAGCTAAGATACGGAACCAACCCAGATACCCCTCAGTAGATGAATGGATCAAGAAAATGTGATATATGTATACATTGGAATGCTGTGCTTCCATCAGAAAAAATGACATCATCCCATTCTAAGGAAATGGAAAGACTTGGAAAAAGTCATATTAAGTGAAGTAAGACAGGCCCAAAGAAACAGGTCCATGTTTTCCCTCATTTGTAGTAATTAGTACATGTGTAGGAGAGTACTAGCAGAGGATCACATTAGCTCAAAAACTATGTACATACGACCATATAAAATAATGCTAATAGAAATAAACTCCAAGATATGGAGACGAGGTTTTTTGTTTTTATTTTTTGTTTTTAATGTACTGTGTGAAGTTATTTCTTTTTTCTTTCGTTTCCCCCTCCCCTTTTGGTTTATTCCATTATCACTGTTTTTGATTTTTGTACCCTGTGTCTAGTATATATGTTTATCTGATTTTGGAAAGAGAAGGAGAATAATGAAATGGTGAGACAAAAAACAGCGATATTCACAAAACACTGTTAAAAATGAACTTTACACCTGGGGGAAGGAGTCAGGGCGGGGAGGGAAGGTGGGAGAAAAACAAGGGAGGGGGTAAGTGTTCAACAAGAAATGTACTCATTACCTTACTTATGTAACTAACCCCTTTGTACATCACCTTTACAATAAAGTTAGAAAAAAAAATCTGATGAAAAAAGAAAATTTGGGGCTGGGAAGGTGGCTCAGTGGTAGAGTGCTTGTGGCTCAGGTAGTAGAGTGCTAAGTGGTTGTGTGTGTGTGTGTGTGTGTGTGTGTGTGTGTGTGTGTGTGTTTTGTGTGTATTGCCAGTCCTAGGGCTTCTTCTGCTCAAGGCTAGAGCTCTACCACTTGATCCACAGCTTCACTTCTGGCCTTTTCTGTTTATGAGGTACGGAGGAATTGAACCCAGGGTTTCATGCATGCTAGGCAGACACTGTACCACTAAGCCACCTTCCCAGCCCCTAAGTTTTTAAAGTATGAACTCATTTTTACCTGCCATTTGGTTTGTGTGTTCAAACAGTCCTTTTTTAACCTGTGTCTGTTGGCTCCTTTGCCTTTCACCCAGTAGTCTTTGATAGTTTCCTTGCTTACTGGAACTCATCTTGAACATTTCCTTTTCCAGACCTGGAATCTGGTCAGTGGGAAATGAATGATAGAGATCATAATCTAGATGCTATTTTTGCTTATTTTTACGGGGTTTATCATTGATGATAGACCTTTTTGTGGACAAAGCTGGGAAAACTTTTAGAGAAAAAAATAATTCATGAGTTCTAGGTGCTATTTGCAATTCAGTTGTAAGGTTACAAAATTTTTACCTATTTTTTATATAGGTTTTCCTTTTTTCCCCTCAACACTAAAATATGGGTTATAAAAATGTGATTATTTAAAGGTAAAAATTTTAGATTTGTTTTGTAATATAAAATACAATATAAAATAATATAAAAATACAAACGCTAGTATTTAAAGGGGCCTGGAATCTAAGTAAAATAGTCCTCCATTTACTCCAACTTCTGATAGTTCAGTTCTGGTTTTTCAACTTTATGATGGTTCAGAAGTGACACAAATTCAGTAAAAGATGTACTTTAGTTTTGCACTTGTCACAAGCTAGGGAAATATGGTATGATATACTCTTATACTACAGCAGTGAGTCATAGCTCCCAGCTAACTACATGACCATGACACAACTTGTCCTCTAATGTGTACTGTGGTATTTGAGATGTTGGGTATAGGCACTGCATTTTCAGCTTACAGTTGGCTCACCAGTACTCAACCACATTGAAAATCAAGTCCCTTCTGTGAACTAAGTCTGTTAAAGAATCATCTGGGAATAGTGGAGGCTGATAAATAGGAGAGCTTATATCCTTCTTGATGGAGAAATGTATGAGTTGGCTGTAGCTGATTTTCATCCCAAGGAATATTAGCACAGGGTGGCTTGTTTTTCTCTATTAAAAAGAAAAAAAAGCTATAAATCTAAATATTTATTAGGATGACAATTCAGTTCACTTATTTATTTTTGATGGGACTGGGGCTTGAACTCAGAATCTCACACTTGCCATGTAAGCACCATACCACTTTACCCACACTCTCAGCCCCAAATTTTAACAAGTTAATTTTGGACAAGTAATTTCTACAGATTGTATGTGCCCTCTTGCGAGGAAGATCTTTCAAGCCTCTGGTAACTCAATACTGGGAAAGAGTAGGGGAAATGAGGATATAGTATTTTTTCATTTGGCTAATGAATCATATATTTACATAACTTCATTTGAACCTTTAAAATAATTAAAATAGCCCTATTGGTCATTAACTTTTTTTCTTGTTGCAAATTTAAAATAGGAACTGACAACATCTCAGAAAAGTGGTGGGAATGTTCTTCAGATGATGTATGAGAAGCCTGAACGGTGGTCTTTTACCTTCCAATCATATGCCTGTCTCAGTCGGATACGAGCTCAGCTTGCCTCTCTACATGGCAAGCTTAAAAATGCAGAGAAACCTGTGTTATTTTTCGAACGATCTGTATATAGTGACAGGTATGTAAATGTCTTAAACTTGGCCATTCAGTCTTGACTCAGAACTAGACATTTTTTTCCATTTCCTATGAATCAGGAGTTCAGTTGGAAATGTGAGATAGAAAATGATTTACTAGCCAGGCGCTAGTGGCTCATGCCTGTAATAGTTGCTACTCTTAGGAAGCTGAGACCTGAGGATCATGATTCAAAGCCAACTCAGGCAGGGAAGACTGTGAGACTCTTTATCTCCAATAAACCACTCGGAAAACTGGAAGTGGCGCTGTGGCTCAAGCGAAGAGCTGAGGGACAGCGCCCAAGCCCAGAGTTCAAGCCCCATGACTTATATCAACAACAAAAACAAATGATTTAATAATTCTCATTATTCTGGTACTGATGACGTTGAGAATGTCTAGCATTTATAATGCTTAGTTTCTATGAAAATTCTAGGGAGTAAGGTGACCATTCAGATTTGTACAGCGCTTTTTTTTATTTCTTTAAAAAAGCTTTTTAAAAAAAAAAACCCTTTTAATCCTCTTGGGATTTCTCATCTGCCTGATTATACCTATGTTCCAGAGAACTCTTAACTATAGCAAGGAGATAAAAATTAAAAATTTGAAAGGGGGCCTTAGAATTTCCCTATATAACTATAATTCTTTTGACCTCAGAATTGAGAAAGGTTCTGAAATGTTTGGCTCCCAGGTCCCCTTTTTTGTTGTTGAGGAGTCAAAAAACTATGTTGCATTGATATTTACATTAGATACTACATTCAGAATTAAGATTGAGAAATAAAAATGTTTGTTTAAAGTTAGCAAATAAAATTGCAAAGAGCAAACTCATTAACATTTCATACTTCTGACATTTCCTATTTCTGACAAAAATTAAAATAATATTGCTTATGTTTCTGTAGATCTCTAATGTCTGATTTAATGGAAGATAGCTACATTTTCATTTATGTTTTTGCTTTAATTTGTTATAGTATATTTTTTGGTTTAAATATAGCAGTATATCAAGAAATCTGACAGAACTTTGGGGACCTTAGAGACTTCCAAGAGTTCTTTATACCTTTGGCCAACAAAATAATCTCCTATAGTTGTAGAGATTCTTTTTTGTTTGTTTATAGACACTGTCTTTCTCTTTGTGGTTTTTTTTTTTTGTCGGTCATGGGGCCTGAACTCTGGGCCTGGGCGCTGTCCCTCACTTCTTCAGCTCAAGGCTAATGCTCTACCACTTGAGCCACAGTGCCATTTCTGGCTTTTTCTGCTTATGTGGTACTGAGGAATAGAATCCAGAGCCTCATGCAGGTGAAGCAAGCACTCTACCACTGAGCCACCTTCCCAGCCCTCTTTTTGTTTTTTATTGAAGTGATATATGCATTGATGGAGATTCTCTTTCAGGTATATTTTTGCATCTAATTTGTATGAATCTGACTGCATGAATGAAACAGAATGGACAATTTATCAAGACTGGCATGACTGGATGAATAATCAATTTGGCCAAAGCCTTGAATTGGATGGAATCATTTATCTTCGAGCTACTCCAGAGGTGAGACCCAATAAATATTTGTTTGTTCCATTTAAAATTTAAGGATTACTCAGATCTTTTCAGTGGTATGTAGCATAATTTCAACTCCATCCTCCCATCCTCCATCTTTTTTTCTCAGCAAACTAGAAGCCCAAATGTTTTACATCAAGTTGCTCTTTAAAAAAAAAAATGCAATTTCATTGTTACTATTAAGGTATTGTACAGAGGGATTACAATTCCATAAGTCAGGTAATAACTACAATTCTTCTTGGACAGTGTCACCCCTTCCTTCACTTTCTCTCAGTTTCCCCCTCCTGTCCTTGCCCACAAGTTGCATAGTTCATTTTCCACATAGTATACACTGAATACCACCGTTGCATTTGTTCACCCTTCCTCCATTTCCTTTTGCCTTTCCTAAAAAGATAAAAAAAACAAACAAGGGGCTGGGAAGGTGGCTCAGTGGTAGAGCGCTTGCCTTGCATTCCTGAGGCCCTGGGTTCGATTCCTCAGCACCACATAAGCAAAAAGAAAAAAGCCGGAAGTGGCGCTGTGGCTCAAGTGGTAGAGTGCTAGCCTTGAGCTGAAGAGCTGAGGGACAGCACCCAGGCCCAGCGTTCAGGCCCCATGACTGGACCCCAAAAAGCAAAAAAAAAACAAAAAAACAAAAACCAATCTAAAAAGCAACACCAACAGTAGCAACAACAAAAAAGAACTTACCATGTTTCCATTTCCTGGAATTCATTTTGATAAATAGTATTCTAGATGATCAAGAGTAGTTACACTATTCTGGGTTTCTCCCTGAAGAATATCTTCCTTTAGTCGATTGTGTATACAATGCCTAGAGCCCTGTATAATGATCACTTCCAGTTGTATTTTAGATCTAACTTCCACATATAAGAGAAAACATGCACCATTATCTCTCTAAGCTTGGTTTACCTCACTTAACATGATTTGTTCTAGATCCATCCAAATTCTGTGCATAATCTTATTCTTTTGTTTTTTATTGTGAAAATACTGTACAGAGAGGTTACAATTACAGGGACAAGATAATGAGTACATTTCTTATCAAGCATTGTAGTCTCCTCCTTTGTTTCCCCTTCCCATCCCCCCCCACCCCTCCCCCCCCCACCCCCCCTACAGTGATATTTTATAATCGTTAGGTTAACAACAAAGCAGAATTGATAGATGGGCATACTTTTATCATTCCTTTAACTTTATTGTGTTTGATGATACTGGGGCTTGAACTCAGTTTCATGCTTGCTAGGCAGGCATTCTTGTTCAGCTGTGCCTTTAGGTCTGTTTTGAACTTTTTATTTATTTTATTTTTTTTGGATCTGGTCATGGGGCCCGAACTCTGGGCCTGGGCGCTGTCCCTAAGCTCTTCAGCTCAAGGTTAGCGCTTTACCACTTGAGCCACAGGGCCACTTCCAGCTTTTTTCTTTTTGCTTATGTGGTACTGAGGAATCGAACCCAGGGCCTCATGCATGCAAGGCAAGCGCTCTACCACTGAGCCACCTTCCCAGCTCCTGTTCTGAACTTTTAAAATAGGTGTTTAATGAAATCCTCCTTTCTTTTATTATGTATTTTTACTTTTATTTTTTGTCAGTCATTTGGCTTGAACTCTGGGCCTACTGTCCCTCAGCTCTTCAGCTCAAGGTTAGTACTCTATCACTTGAGCCACAGTGCCATTCCGGCTTTTTTTTTCTGCTTATATGGTGCTGAGGAATGGAACTGAGGGCCTCATGCATGCAAGGCAAGCACTCTACCATTGAGCCATCAGTCCTCCTCCTTTCTTTTAAACCAAATTTACATTGATTATTATATTTTATGTTTAAAAACTTACTTGGATTTACTTGGAAAGTACGGCTTAGTTTAGAGCTGCCACATCATTGGAAAAGCACATAGAAGGATCAAATAAACCATTTCAACTTTGTAGAAGGATCAAATAGAGATTTTGGCTAGTGTAACTAGAAAAGAAAATTGTAATGAAAGGTAATAATAATTGTTCCTTGACTTCCTTTTTTCTTTTTGATTCTTTAAGAAATGCTTGAATAGAATATATTTACGAGGAAGAAATGAAGAGCAAGGCATTCCTCTTGAATATTTGGAAAAACTTCACTATAAACATGAAAGCTGGCTCCTGCATAGAACATTGAAGTAAGACTTTCTTCTTTTTTGTTTGTGAGGAGAATCAAAAAGGTTTTATATATTCTGTACCTGAAACTTTTATTTATGTCGAGTAAATCTACTTGTAAAAGAATGGACTACCTGCTGTATTACTTGAAGGATGTCTGGTGTATAATGGCAACATTCTTGATTTTCAAATGACTTAAGAATGAATTTTTAATGTTTTGCTTTTACTTAATGTTTTTCTGATTATTTTTTTAAAAAAATCTTTTAAAACAGAACCAACTTTGATTATCTCCAAGAGGTGCCTATCTTAACATTGGATGTTAATGAAGATTTTAAAGACAAGCATGAAAGTCTGGTTGAAAAGGTAGATTTAGACAATCTAATACTTACTTTGTCTTGTCAAAAAGTATACTATCTTGTGAGGAAATGTTCTAGCCATAAAAACACACATGCCATGCATTGATGGCTCACACCTGTAATCCTAGCTATGCAGGAGGCTGAGAGCTGAGGATCATGGTTCAAAGCCAGCCTGGGCAGGAAAGTCTGGGAGACTCTTATCTCCAATAAACCACCAGAAAACCAGACGTGGCACTGTGACTCAATGGTAGAGCTCTGGCCTTGAGCTGAAGGGCTTAGAACAGCTCCCAGGCCCACAGTTCAGGCTCCATGACTGACCAAAAAAAAAAAAAATTATACACATAATATTATATTAAGAGACAGTTAAAAGCTGAAGAGGACTTTGTTTACTGTCCAATCCTGAGCTTAAATTTTAGCTTTATGACTTGAGCTAAAAGAATCTTGTTCATTCTCTATTATTTTCTTGGTAACAGGGTAATTACAGTAATACATTCTTTCTTTTCTTTTTTTTTTTGGGGGGGGGGTGTCCGGTCATGGGGCCTGAACTCTGGGCCTGGGCGCTGTCCCTCAGCTCTTCAGCTTAAGGCTAGTGCTCTACCACTTGAGCCACAGCTCCATTTCCCACTTTTTTCTTTTTGCTTATGTGGTGCTGAGGAATCGGACCCAGGGCCTCAGAGTCATGCAAGGCAAGCATTCTACCACTGAGCCATCTTCCCAGTCCCAATACATTCTTACTGCCTTCTAGTCTGCATAGTTCTTTTTTCTCCCTCTTCCCCATATCACCAATATTTAGGGTGGGGTTTTTTGTGTGTGTGATACTGGAGTTTGTAGGATATATTTCTCAATCTTATCCAGTTAGCTGAAGTCTTGAGATTAAGAAATTTTAGCCAGGTGCCAGTAGCTCATACCTGTAATCCTAGCTACTCAGGAGGCTGAGATATGAGGATCACAGTTCAAAGCTAGGCTGGGCAAGAAAGTCTGTGAGACTCTTATCTCCAGTTAACCACCAGAAAACCGGAAGTGACGCTTAGCTCAAGTAGTAGAGAGCTAGACTTGAGCTAAAGAGCTCCGGAACAGCATGCAGGCCCAGAGTTAAAGCCCCACAACCAACAAAAAAAGAGAAAAAAATTTAACTGAGTTTTGTTTGGTGTTATGTCACATATGAATTGGCATTTCCTAGTTACTGAGGCAGTCTCTTAATTGAGCTAATGTAACCTTCAGATAACTGGGAATTGATTACATTCTAAATGAAGGTGCCATACTGATAAAGGGATAGAAGAAAGGGAGAAAAAAATCTATGGATAAAACATTTGAGGCAGTAGTAGTGAGAATTGTAGAACAAATACCTTTCAGCCCACATTAATTAGTGTTCTAAAGTCTGAAAAATCATAGTTATTTGCTTTTTAGTTTTGAGAGGAATCTGTGTATTTTTTCTTCCTTTCATAATGTATCTGCTCTTTAATATTATAGGGACTTGATATTTGTAATGGATATATCTCAGAGGTTTTTTTGTTTTGTTTTGTTTTTGTCAGTTGTGGGGCTTTGAACTTTGGGCCAGGGCGCTATCCCTCAGTTCTAAAGCTCAAGGCAAGCACTGTACCACTTCTGGTTTTCTGGTGGTTAATTGGAGATAAGAGTCTCACAGACTTTCCTGCCCGGGGTGGCTTTGAACCACAATCCTTCGATCTCAGCCTCCTGAGTAGCTAGGGTTACAGTCGTGAGCCACCAGCGCTCGGCTACCTCAGAAATTTTCGAAGTCTCAATATCTCAATATCATTATAGCATCTGGTTGTTTTATTCAGCTTATAGAGAAAAGTGTATCTGAAATTCAGATTATTCTTCTATATTCTTCTATATTATTCTTCCTATTAATGATGTTAAGCCTATAGATCAGTATTCACTTAAGATACTATTAAATGAAATAGTGTACCAACAGCAAGCCTTCAGTATAATTCAATCTGTAAAACCACTTTTAAATTTTATCTAAAGCTTCTTTGACCTAAGTCATTTCACATACTTGGTTTTACTTTTATTAATAGTGCTACAGTTAGCTTTCTTTTTTTTAAGGTATATTTAACAAGGCAGTAAATCTGTCTTTTCAGAATTTTGTGTAGTCTAGAATATATAGAGAATTGGGAATCTTGGATTGTGGTGTCAGTATGTTTGCTGGGTTCATTCAGAATTTATGTAAACCCCTTTCATCCCTGTTAACAATGTAGACTGTACCTGTCTTGATTGGAAATTGGTGCTTCTGAAACATTACAGTCTAATAAACAACTGAACTTTAAAGTTGTTTAAACTATTATAGCTATTATCAGTATCAAAGCAGCACATATTTCTAGTCAATGGTATTTTTAAAAAGAAGTTACAAAACTAGTGGCAAAGCTCTTTAGAATTGCGTCAATCTTAGATATAAATTATGTAACCCCTATAATGACATATTAGGTCATTCAGCTCTTAGCACTAGTAGTATCTAACAGTATTTCTTTGTAAAGTAAATGCTATGGTATTGTGATAGAGTTGGTCAAGAAATGTATAATTATTATTATTTTTTATTTTCCTTAGGTCAAAGAATTTTTGAGTACTTTGTGAAGTTGTTGAAGACTACAGACAACCAAATGTTTCCATGTTTAAGCCTTGTGTATCTTCAAAGCTTACTATTCATACAAATATCTTTATATCTTTAAAAGACTTGGATTTTTAACTGTTTTTGTTCTGGGGTGGGGCTGTGGTTTTTTTGTTTTGTTAGGTTTCTTCATGAATCCTGTATAAAACTTTTTAACTAGTTTCCTTCCCTTCCTACTTAATTCATTCCCTCCCTTCTTTGGTTTAAAAAAACCAGAACTATCTAATTCTCTGGAGGTAAATGGATCCAGAATCAATATAGTGAGTGGCTAAACTACATCATAAAAGACACAGTCTTCTCTTGTCTTTCCTCCTCAGTAGGTAGACAATTTTCCCTGGTGCTCTCACCCCACTGGTGACCAGTTCTTAATTGGAAGCCTTATATAGTAAAATGGTGTGTATCCTGTGTAAATTATATGCCAGTTAAAAGTTGAAAGAATTTGAAAATTGAGTGTTGGTCATGGCTATAACCCTATGTACTAAGGAGATTTAGGTCTAAGGATTGAGGTTTGAAGCCACTCTGGCTGACAAATTCAAAAGACTTATCTCCAATTAACTGCCCAGCAGGCTGGAAGTAGAGATGTGGCTCAAGTGGTAGAGTACCAGCCTTAAGTGGAAAAAGTGAGAAGTAAGACCTTGAGTTCAAACCCTAGTTTTAGCATACAAAAAGCAAAAGTTGTTTGGTCGGTCATGGGGCTTGAACTCTGGGCTTGGGCACTGTCCCTGCACTCTTCAGCTCAAGGTGAGCGCTCTAGTGCTTGAGCCACAGCGCCACTTCCGGTTTTCTAGTGGTTTATTGGAGAAAAGACGGACTTTCCTGCCCGGGCTGGCTTTGAACCACAATCCTCAGATCTCAGCCTTCTGAGTAGCTAGGATTACAGGTGTGAGCCACTGGTGCCCAGCTGTAAAGTAGAATTTTAAAAAATCTTTAGAATAAGAATTCTTACATATTTATCCTTTCTTAGTTGTTTTGGAGATTGAACGAAAGGCCTCTTGTGTATTAGACAATTTAAACCACAAACCTCTAAAGTTTTCAGTGCTTTTGACCATGTAATTTATTTTAACAAGACCAAATTTAATATTTAATTTCTTCACTGATATTTATTAATATCTGTAACACATTTATAGAGGAGCAAGTTAAACTTTGTTCCCAGTTTAGTAATGGAATAATCTATTTCATAAATATTTAATCTTTGCTTTTGCTTTTTTCTTCTGTGATACAGATGGATAATACTTTGTGCATCCCCCCCCCCCCCCCTTTTTTTTTTTCCTCCTCTCTCTGTGCTAGTCCTGGGGTTTGAACTCAGGGCCTGGGTACTGTCCTTGAGATTTTTTGCTTAAGGCTAGTATTCTACCTCCTGAGCCAAAGCTCTATTTCTGACTTTTTAGTGGTTAGCTGGAGATAAGAGTCTCATGGGCTTTCTTGCCCAGTCTGACTTTGAAACGCTATCCTCAGATCTCAGCTTCCTGAATAGCCAGGATTTTAGAGAATAAGGTGGAAATCTGTATTTTCAAAATAGTTGAGAATTTACTGATAAGTAGAACAATTTAGTTGAAATGGAGCTTCAAATAAGTGACTTGGTTTCTTTTCTTCACTAGATTTAGAGGGAATATTTTTTTTTTTTTTTTTTTGGGTCCGGTCGTGGGGCCTGAACTCTGGGCCTGGGCGCTGTCCCTCAGCTCTTCAGCTCAAGGCGAGCACTCTACCACTTGAGCCACAGCGCCACTTCCAGTTTTTTTCTTTTTGCTTACGTGGTGCTGAGGAATCGAACCCAGGGCCTCAGGCATGCAAGGCAAGCGCTCTACCACTGAGCCACCTTCCCAGCCCTAGAGGGAATATTCTTACTATAGTTAAAAGTCGTTTAAATTATAATTTTCCTTAAAGCATTTGTGGTGAAAATATAATTTTTTTGTTTCTTTGAAATTTTATAAAACGTTAGTTTTTATAAAACATGTTAGGGATCAGTTTTTCCATTTATTTTCAATTGCTACTGTGCTGGAAATAAACATTCTTTACCTTTGTACTTGGTGAGAAGTCAGAATAGAAACTACTTCTTAGCAGTATAGACTTTTTGTTATGTATACATCTTATACATTTGTGGTGCTGAACCCAAGGCTTGCTCTTGCTAGACAAACACTCTGCTTCTGAGCTACACTCCCAGCTCCAGGATAGTCTTTTTTTTTTTTTTTCTGTTTATATGGTGCTGAGGAATTGAACCCAGGACTTCATGCATGTGAGGCAAGCACTCTACCACTGAGTCACCTGTCCAGCCCCTAGTATAGTCTTCTTAATTCAATCTTTTATATTCTGCCTTGTTCTGCTTACCCTGCTACTGGCTAGAGCGATCAAGTAGCTTGCTATTTTTAAAATACACATTTCTACTCTGAGAATATTGTGATCATTCTGCATCATACTTTGCTTTATAGAATCTTGCCTTAATTTTTTCATCTTAGGTCTGTAAAGTTAAAGAGGTTCTCCCTACTCCCTTAGCTTTTGAAGTTAAGATTGCAGTATTTTTTTCATGTAGTGATTAATCTTTCTATTTTGCATTTTAAAAAATTATGTAACCTTTGAAGTGAGAAAAGTATTTATTTTGAGGCTATAACTTTAAAATGTTAGCTTTTCTTTCTGGTTTCATATTTGGTGATACTAATGTAGTGGATTAACCAGTTCAGATATACTCAGCAATGAAAAGCGGGTTTAATTTTAAATCTGAAATGTTTAAATTGTTTTCTGATGTACATGGAACACTTTGGATTTTGTTTGATATAAATGAATTTGCCTGCTTAATTAAAAATATTTGTCAATAAATAAGTTTAAATCTCATGAATTACCACGAATGTAAACATATTAAAATGGTTGCATCTTTTTTCTTTTTTTTGTTGGTTGTGAGGCCTGAACTCTAGGCGTGGGCACTGTCCCTCAGTTCTTCAGCTCAAGGCTAGCGCTCTACTACTTGATCCACAGTGCCACTTCTGGCTTTTTCTGCTTACGTGGTGCTGAGGAACTGAACCCAGGGTCTCATGCATGCAAGGCAAGCACTATACCATGGAGCCACCTTTCCAGTCCTGGTTGCATCTTTTTAGAGTTAAAATTTTTTTATTTTTCTTAGCTGGGCACCAGTGGCTCACACCTGTAATCCTAGCTACACAGAAGGCAGAGATCTAAGGGTCAAGGTTTAAAGCCAGCCTGAGCAGAAAATTTATGAGATGCCAGTTTCCAACTAGCAAGCAATAAGTGGGCTAAAAATTTGACTCAAGTGGTAGAATACCAGCTGTGAGCAAGAAAGCTGAATGAGAGTGAGGACTCCTGAGTATTATACTTCAGCAGGGAAAAATATCAGTTATAGCTATTTGCCACATGAGGTCATTACATACTTGATTCTTTATTGTGTTCTGGCAGTAGTATCAGTGTGATGATGAATGGTTAGTAGAACATAGGAGCTGATAAGAAGGCCTTTTTCCTGCTAGACCAAGTCATATTTACTTAAGTGAGACTTTATGTGTGCAGATGGGGAGAATAAAATGAGCTTTTGGGTTTATAAACCTGTACAGAAAAGATAATCTTTTGAGATTTTTAAGATAATTTAATACAAAACCTAACAGCTAGCCCCCTAAGTATTAGATTGAATAGTATTAATTGTTGGGAGATACTGTTTGATTAGGTGTTACTCATCAGGCTAAATTTAATGCTCTAATATACCTTCATTGGACAGAATTTTAAGGGCTGGCTTTCAAGACTTTACCATCTTATTTACTATGTGAAGGTTGCATGATTATTTTCCTAAGAAGTTTAAAACCATGACCTAAAAAGTGATTTAATAACAGGTAAGTGAAATCTGATCTTTTATTGACAAAAATATTTCTAAAACACACCTATTCAGTGCTTTTTGATGCTTGAAATGGTGGTGATGCTCCTTTTTTTTTTAATCTTTGTCCTTTGGTGGTACTTGTACTTGTATACACACACATAAACTTTTTTTGTTAAATTAGTGTGGGTAACACAGGCAGCAAAGATGGCGCTGAGAGGGAGTTGAGTGGGGCAGAGCCCAATTTACCTTACATTCAATGCGTAACAAGCCCGAGAAGGCTTAGGTGCATGATAGGGTGTGACCTTGACAGTGATTGGTTCCTCTTCCTCTCCTGCCATGCCACCTGCCCTTTTTGGCTTTAAAAAGAGCTGCTCTCTGTTAATAAACAGTTTTCTACCTGCTTGATTTGGCTCCCTGCTATGTCTGATTGTCTCCTGGGGTGAGGGAGGATGGGGAACCGGCGAGCGCCTCACTTACCTTTCCTCGGACCCCGTCCCTCTTTCATGGGACGGAGGAAGACCCAACAAATTAGTTTTTACCCCCCTATTTAATAAGATTCGGTCAAAGTTATGCATCTCTGATGGGGCAGTGGCTTCCTTCTGTAATTCTAGCTACTTGGGAAGCAAGAGTTAGGAGGATTGTGGTCTGGGCAAAAAATGAGACCCTATTTGAAATAACAAGCAAAAAGGACTGGAGGTATGGCTGGTACAGCACTTGACTAGCAAGTTCAATACCTAGTAATGAAAGAACAAAAAGTGATACATCTCCTAAAACTTCAATTTTGTCTTGCTGTTACTGTCAGCTAGAATGGGCTTCTTTGTAATAAGAGAGTAAGTTTAAAAGTTAGCTAATATTATAAAACTATTAGAGCAACATAGATGCTATGTAGTACTTAGAACAGCAGCTAAGAAATGACTGGTTGACAACTGAATATTTGGAATAAATTATTTATTGATGGTTGACATGATCTGGTTGCCAGACCAGTGAATTGTCTCAGTTCCTTTTTGTGCTGCCATAATAGAATCACAGACTGGGTAACTTACAAAGAACAAAATTTTCTCAATGTTTTGGAGGTTGGAAGTCCAACAAGGTCTTGGCAGGTTTGGTGTTTTTAAGGGCCCACTTCTAAGATGGCCCTGAACTCTCACCTTGTATCCTCTGCAGGAGAGGAACACTTCCTCTATATGGCAGAAGAGAGTGAACCCTTAGGCATTTTTGTGGTTGCATTAACTCATGAGAGTAACCTAAACCCTCCCATTAAGTTTCTTTTTTTAAAACATGGCCATAAATCAGTAACAAGTTAGTGAATAAGATGGGTAATCAAACTCGAAAGAAGCTGCTTTAGGTCATAAAAGAAGGTACCAAGGTTAGGTATGGTGACTGTATTGCCAGCTGTAAGAGAGATGGAGATAGCAGGGTAGAGGTTCTGGGTCAGCTTGGACAAAATAATTAATGAAGCCCTGTCTGGAAGAACAAAACAAGTGTGGTGGAACATGCCTATAATCCCAGCTGTACTGGAGGTATAGGTAGGATATGGTGGTCCAAGACTGGCCTTGAGCAAAAAAAAAAAAAAATGCAATGTCCTATGTGAAAAATGTCTAAATCATAAAGGGCTAGAATATCACTAAAGTAGAGCATTTGCCTAGCAAGCATGAGGCCCTGATTTCAAACCTAAGTACTGCTAAAAGTAATTAGTTAAAAAGTTAGAAAAGAAAGCACTTAGATCTGTGTTGTTATGTAATGATAAAG